ATGTCTCGCCCTTACTCCCTGTGAATGAAAACGCCAGCTGCACGATTGAAGAGGACAACGTGTGAACAAGGGTGTTTGCGAGTTGATGTTAGCAGAGTGAAGCGGGAGTGCTGGCAGAGACTTTGCTGTTCTGTTGTTTCTAGGCTTTGCCAGGCCTTTCAGTTCGTGTTTCAGGCGAACAGAACCATTTGCACACGCTACAGGCAAGCACCTGAGCAGCACCATCCAGATGCTAAGAACGTTGCGGCGGCGATTCATTGTCCTCAATGTAGAAGTGCTCGGTGAGAAAGGGCTAGCAACATCGCCCCATTTCATCCCAATGGGGCTGGGAATTGAGAAGCATTGATTATTTGTGGTATACAACCCCGGTTTGAGCAGGATTGAGGAATGCCTGTGCCTTCATTCATGGACCCAGGCCTTGATCCCCAGTGACACTGCAGAAGAGGAGCCGGATCACGCGTCTGACCAGCGGGTTGGCACTTGAGTCTGAGCGCAAATGATGGCCTGCAGGTTCAGCATCCATGAAGCAAATTGGCCACACGAACTGGCTCTCGTGTTTACCTGGGCTAATGTGAACCCTGCAAGCCTCACCAAAGCTTACAGGGAGCCTTCAAGCACACAGGAGCTCCGTCGCATCCAGGGGCTTCTCACGCCAGATGAGTTGGCCCGGAGCGAAGAATGGCTTCCGCATGCACGGGGCTAGTCCTTTGTCAAAGAAAGATGGACACTGACCAGACTTGTTCAGTTGGCCCGATCATTTCAGAGGACAGGGGGCAAAAAGGACATGTATACGGCTTGGTTTGTCAAGCCGTAAGTGAAAGACTGAGCAGACAACTAAATCTTTTCTTTGGAGCGGAACCTGGTCGCTACAAGAAGTTGTGTGTTTTTGGATATGAGTTTTGCAATTCATTCATTTTTCGCCTTAGACTCCATGTGCTTCGGCCGAAAGTGTTTCTCTCGGGGCTCGCCTTTTCTCGGATGCCGAGGTTCTACGGTCGGAGTTGCAGCTGGGTGTGGGCAAAGATGCGCAGCTCATCCCTGCTGGATTAAAGCTGATGCTCGGAACCCCAGAAAAAACCGCGCTGTCGCTTTGCTTTGATTGAGGCTGCAAATTCTGATCCTGAAAGGAGGCATCCGCTGGATAACACACGCGGACATAGAGGGTGTCTTGAGATGACACGCCCAGGCAGTGTTCAGGAGCTTTGATTCATCACTGCTGCATAACAGCCGACTGCCAGTTCCGAAATCGTTTTGGCCGTCTGGGCACGTTGACCAGCTCCAAGGAATCTTGTCCCCAAATTGTCACTCAAGTTGCAAGTCTTAGTGATGCAGCAAAGCGTGCCAGCTTCCCAATGAGGCGCCGAGGGCAGGTTGTGGATCGATTCAAGCTCCACGGCCGCAATGACGCTGGAGCGTTGATAACAGTTGCTTCGACTCTGCGACAGGGAAACAAAGCAGGCGACCACTTGTTCTGGATTGAGGCGTTTCTGAGGGAATGGCAGTATGACGGAAGGAAGCACGATGCATTCAGTCACACCGCGGCAAGCAATGTTCGCGAACAAGAGGGCGCGTTTTCATGATACATGTGCCATGTTTCTTTATCTTCCTTGCCCAAAGTTGGGGAATCCAAAGCCCAGAAGGGGATTCCCCCTGTACGCTCCGCCGACAACTTGCCCAGGCCAGACATCAGTTGCACCGAGCTGCATCGGCGCTTGCCAGAGCTGCTTAGCCTGGAAGGGGGTTTTAAGGGACCGGGTCCCTGTCAGGTTCCACGTTGGTGGGAGGGTACTTGATTTGAGAATGGCCAATGCAGTGAAAATGGTGAATGGTATCCTTTAACATGTTGCTGACCGCAAAGCAGCCCAGCAGCCAGTGGCTTGGCCACGGGCACAGCAACAGTTCGACAGCCCGAGCTCGCGATTTGGTCGATTTCCCATGTGCTGCTTGGCCCCACGAAACCTGTCTAAGTGTAGGATTCTGATATATTTTGAATCTGGGGTCGGCTCCTTCATGTTGCCTTGCCTTGGGTCTAAGCAGTCCCTGCGAATCAGGCTTGCAACCCAAGACGGCTCCGACCTGCGGCTTCTCTTCGGCGGGGGGGCCAAGATTTTCCTCGCGCCATGACGGTCGCCGGGCAGGTGGTGTGTTTGACTGGACCGCTTTGCTCCTTGCCGTGGCAAAAGGTTTGCAAGCACTTTGAAGATCGACACCGAAAAGTCCATAGCGCTTGGCTTCGCCCGGCAGGTCTTGTGTCACTCGGCTTGTGCGAAGGTAACTGAGGGTTGAGCGGGCAACAGCTCAGATCGTGCAGCAAGCAGTTGTCCATTGCTCTTCCTGTTGGTGGGATAGATGCCTTCTGTTTTTATGAGTAGATCGCAAGCCGTCATTCTTTCTCGCATGCCATATATAGGTTTTGGAATAAAACAAATCCGGAGCAGACGTCCTTTGACCCATTTTACTTGGCTTAGCTTTGTTGCCCCCATCACGCTTGCAGCGGTGCCGATCACATAGAACTTCCTATCGTGCATTGATTCAAGCACCTTCGCAACAGCAGAAGAATGGCAGAAACTGGGGTACTGTATATCATGCACGAAACCGTGCTTAACTGTGGATGCTTACGTTGGCCCTTTATGCAGCCATCCGGCACTTCCCACAGCCCCTTTGCAGCCGAGCTCATACTTGTGCAGTCAATCATGACACGGTTGTAAGGGTCGCTCTATTCTCGTTATCTATCACGCTTGTCCAACACATTCCAAGTTCCTGTTGAATCTCCCAACGTTCCGGCCATTCGCCGGCAGACCAGCATCACAGTTGCGTCTGAGAGATTGCTGATTGCCGGGCCGAGGCGGCGATGGCTACAATGAAGCGCGCAAGCAGGCGGAGACCGATCTGAAGCAGTCGATGGAACTTGCTTGGCTTGCGCGAGACTTTGAATTATCCATGTCTCACAAACACCCAGTCCTCTTTGGATTTTAGCTCGAGAAGGCGACTCCAGTCGTGATCTGCCACCTGCTCCCCAAAAACAGACAAGATGCTGGCTGCAGGGGACTGGTCTTGATTGCGGCCATGTTGCTGGCGAGGGCTTGGATGTTCCAATGGGCGAATCGGCATCTCACCGACCAGGCGTCGGAGGCCATCGGCGAGCTGGGCGCGATCATCCGAACCTCGCCCGCAGACCAATGCAGGTTGGCCGATCGGTGTTCCTTTTGCTGCGCATCTCAGAGTCAAAATTACCATGACTGAGAGGTCCCGTCAAGATTGCAGCCGATTGCTACCGAAGCTGCAGTGCTATTGCAGTTGACTGAGGTGTTGTCAAAACAGCTGTGGCAGCCTTCCCAGACGTGGCCGCCCAATGCCAGGATGACTGTTCTCAAATTGCTTGCATTCAGGCTATGTCACATGAACGCCGCCCGTCCTTCGATCAAGTAGCCGCCTCCCCAACGTTTTCAACATCCTTCAATGCTTGTTGAGTTTTGAATCGTTTTGATTGGTGCGTGCTGTTTGTGTGTATGCGTGGCACTTGAATGAATGTATCCAGCTTGCTAAGAGACCAGCTGAATCAGAGTGCGCAAGAAAGGGCAGAATCCTCGGCCAACACAGGATGAGGACACCCCAAAATGGGTTCTACTGGTTCTACCAGACAGGTTGCAGCTTGCATCACATGACCATCAAACGGGTTGCATCCTAAAGCACAGTTTCTTAGAGCCCGCTCAAGGGTCACTCCCGAATCCCAAACTCGCCCGGTGCGAAATCGCGCTAGGAGCTGCTGGACAAGCACCACAAAGGTGAGCTCCGGGCAGTCACGCAGGCGGGCTGTGAGAGATGAAGCAGAACCAGTCTTGGATCACAGGTTCGCAAAACTGGGTCTCTAAGTTTGGCACTCGAAGGCACACGTTAGGTTCAAGGCCCTTGGCCAAGTCAACTTTAGGCCAATTTCCAGTTGAAGTCGTTTGCCCTGTTGTGCCGTTCTACCCATGCAGCTCTGACTATGAGCACGGTTTTCACGAGGCCGATTCCCGATTTTGCTTGAAGCTTGGCAGCCGTTTCAATTCGTTGAGGTCTTGCACCGCGGTTTTCTCTCCTGTGGAAAGTCACGTATCATGCCAGTGGCTATGCTGACCGTTTGCCAGGAGAACAAGATTCGGATTCAGATTCAAGAAAAGGAAGCGGAAGAGATGGTCAGGACGGCCAACATCAGGCTGGTTGGACGCACGCCTTGTGTTCCCAAAAATCCCACTTGGGAAAATGCACAATACAGTGGTGCTGAAGCGAGCGCAACACGTCGGAGCGAGAAATCAAACCTAGACAGGATCTGATATTTTTGGCGTTTTGCCTTGATTGGACATCAGAAATCTGTGGCGATCTGACCCGTTTCCGGAAATGGGTGCTTTGACTGTAAAATGCGCAATGCTTTCATAATTCATGCTACTTTCAAGCGTGAGGCTGGCATGACAAGCAACTCACACTTCTTTCATGTTTCACTTTTGCATGTGTTGCACGGTACCTACCTCCCAGGTTTACTTCGGTGTTTTTCTCTCATGCTGGCATTTTGTGGTTGCAGTTGGCTTGGCCACGAGCAACTTCCTGGCAAGGCTGATGTTGGCAGAGGGTCAGAAAAAGGCAGCAGAAGAGAAGCTGAGAGAGGCCGAGCAGGAGCGAGCCGGCAAGCCCAGGTCCGATCTGCAGTGAGCATAGGCCATGTCCAAAGTCTCAGCTCGAAACGAACCGCATGTGTTTTGGCCGCTTGGCACAGGCCGCAGGGTTCAAGCTGCGCACGCAGCCGCGATGCTGAGGTCATGGCCGAGCTGGCTAAGCAAGATGTCGCAGCCCCAGAGTTGCAGAGTCCACCGCTCCATGGGCTGACACGACCATTGTGCAAAGTGAGATGTTCTGAATCTGGTCCTGGTCCGACGGTTTTCTGGCGGCTGAACTGAAGTACCAGTGAAGCTTCATGCAATCTAGCTACAGCAGCGTCTTGCGTAGGGTAGGTACTGTGATGCATTTGGAGCTCATGAGCCTTTTTCCCGCTTCTCCCAGTCGCAAAAGCGCGCGGACCAGTGGTGGGAGAACCTCCAGGCACCTCGGCTGCAATGAGCTGCTAGTTGCCAATTTGGCTTGCCTGCCTGGTTCTCCCAATGAAGCAGGCAAGGCTGGATGTAGGTTTCCCACCGCTCAACGGGCCAATCATTCTTTGACATGCTCTTTCTTTTGGATCGGGGCGCGGCACCACCAAGATCGGCTTTGGAGATTTGAGGGGGTTCGGATGGGGTGGTTTGCGGGGGAGAGAATACCCTTTGTCGTTCACGTGCTTTTCAGAGGGCTTGCTTTGGCCAGGCAGCATGCGAGTAGTGCTCTAAGATCGGACATATGGCCATTTGCCTTGTGATTGGGCATGTTTTACCTTCAAGCGAGACATGCCGTACATTCAAGCGAGGCATGCTGTACGAGCTGTATATTCAAGAGCGGCACCCACTGCACTTTTCAGCATCATTGCCATACATGCATCAGGCGCACCCTTCGCAACACTGTGCTCTCAGCAGCAGCAGCAGCGGCAGCGGCAGCGGCAGCGGAAGCGGCAGCGGAAGCAGCAGCAAGAGCAGCAACAGCAGCAGCAACAGCAACAACAGCAACATTAACTTCAACATTAACAGCATCAGCACCAGACCAGCACCCACTATCACTAGCACCAATACCACCACTTCAATTTCCAGGCACATTTTTGAGACATACCCATCTGCCAGAAGGGCCACAACCGTAGCCCAAGGTCATGGCCAAGGAGAAGGACAGCGGTGCTCCCCTAGTTTCCGATTTTTTTGTCAACGTATTGGGTGTGGTGGGGCTACAAAGCGATGCATCGTTGTTCCTTTGGCCAGTTTGGACATCCCCGAATCCTCTATTTGACTCCAGTGCTACAATCTAACTTCATTGACCTTGGTTGCAAAGTTACACTTGCTTCATTCCGGCATGACCTCTGGGATGAGACCAGATGCAACACGTTGCCCATATTGCCCGGAGCACCGACCTGCTGCGAACACTGCCAGGACATGCTGGAGAATGAGAAGGCGCGGCTGGAGAACGAGAAGCTGCAGTGGACACAGGTGGGATCTGGATACACCAGCAGACTTTCTATATCAACTTTCCTGCTTGTCAGAATGGCAGAACATGTTTTTCAATCGTGCGCTCTGCTTTTCGGTACGTACATGTTTTGCTGACATGTAGCCATGCTTGCCAGAGGAAGCGATGAAACAGGCTACATTGTTTTTGCCCATACCTCTTGCGCTGAACGAAGTTCGGCACGTGAGAAGCTTCAAGCCTGCCTTCTTCAAGCGCAAGAATGGTCCGTGCTTTGCTTGTGCAGACCTACCGAACGTCCAAGTAAAGTTTAGATTCATTATCGGGCTGATGGTCATGAAGACCTTTCAGAGGCGTTTTTTCCAAAGTAAAGTTTAGATGATCAGGTTCATGACCTTTCAGAGTCGTGCCTATTCGTCAGGGCCCTCATGTTCCACGTGGCTCAGGTGCAGAGCCTTATGGAGCTCGAGAAGTGCGCGGCCCCAGAGTCTTGGCCCGCGGAGTCTCGCGACGGCGACGCGTAACATCTCCCAGGTCTGAGCTCCAGGCGGACATCCAGAACGCAAAAGAGGAAAGGAAGAGGTGGGGGTGGGGTGGGGGGTGGGGACCGTACGGGCGCTGGGTGACAAGCTCCAAACAGAAGGTGATGCTTTGGAACGGGCAGATGTTTGTTCAAAGAGCCACTGGCGTGGCTTGCATCACTGCAAGCCGCCCCAGAGTACAAGCGCAGCAGGCGGGCTGACAGGATCCAGGCTTTGCAGGATTCACCCTTCGCAACAATGTGCATTTCGGTTCTGCATATGCTGTCAAGCTGGGCTGTGTTTGCCATTGGTTGAAGCAGCTCGCGCGCGAACTTATCTCGCAGAGGCATGAGCCATGGTTGACCTTCGGAAGCTGACGTGGGTTCGTGGGTTCTCATTGGCTGGGTATGGGTCAGAATTGGATCACCAGGAATTGGAACGCGGGGTTTCAGTCCTTGTTTCCATTTAGGGCACATTTTGGGGTTACCCTATTTTCGACCCACACCCGGCTGAATCTCTGGGGCTAGAGCGTGATGGGAAGGCTGGAGCACGCCGCTGAGAAGTGGCACCACACCCTGCAGACGGTCAAGGCCGGGCTTCAGCTGTGAGTCAATGCCCCACATCAGCTGACTCAGCAATAGGTGAAAATTAATGGGATCCCATTTTGGGGTGGGTGCACCACCCATTTTAGTCTGTTTTTAGTGGGGATTGGGATGTTCACTGGGGTACGGGGTTTTGACCCATGGCCACATAGAGACAGAAATGCTCGGACGAAACAAGAGAGTCAGCTCGGACGAAACCAGACGCGAAGAATTCCATCCCGTATCATTTCCTCAGCAATCTCTTTCCTCACCTTCTCCTTCTTCATCCTCCGCCTCCTCCTCGTCGGCAGCTTTCCGATCCATTCTGGCAGCTCCGCACTACCTGCCTTCGTTCGTCCGCTCCTCCCAGTAGCCTTTTTTGTCAGACATGTCACAGGAAGTTTAGTGTCTCTTCAACTTGTGAACTCCCAAAAGGTCCGCGAAGGCTCTTGTCAGTGATGCCGAGAAGCCCTGCGAAGCCTTTGGCACTGCTCCGTAAAATTGACACAGGCGAAGCCCCTTGACTCTTACAGGATTGCCCAGTGCAACATTGCGTGTTGGACGCATGCAAGGCCCGTCCAACAGCCGTCCATACAAGGCCGTCCAACAGCCGTCCAAGAGCGCATACAAGGCCGTCCAACAGCGCACACACACACACACACAGTGCGCGCAAGGCTGGTCAACGGCGCGTAAGGCCGTCCAGCACGAATACATGGACGGGTCAACTCTTGTCGTGCGAATTGTGTTTTTTTAGTTGTTGTTGAAATGTTGATCGCGGTTTTATTATTTCCTTGTCGCGGTAAGAAGCATAACGCTTGGCGCGATGCAGGATGGCCCCCCTCTCTTCATGGTGTAGCCGCCCCTTTCTGATTCTTGCTTTGATTTTTTCCAGATGTCCTGTTTGTTGTTCTAAATGTTGTTCCGAGGAGGACAGACACATCCTAAACTCTAGAAAGGCCATGCCATTTGCATCTTGTCTAGCTTTGGCCTATCTGATGTCACTTGTACTCGTTCGTTCAGGCACAGGCGGAAGAGAAGGAGGCCGCAGTACGGGCGGGAGGTGAATGAGCAAAGCCCAAAATGACCGGAGTCATTGCTGCCTTTGCTTGGTGTAAGAGCTTAGAAGTTGTAGACATCAGGCTCGTTTGTTGCCAGACCGCTGTTTTAGCCAGGCACACCTGAAGGAGATTCAGGCGATCTTGCAAAAGCAGCAGGAGATAGACTATTGTGGCAGTGCGGAGGGCTTGACTCACATGTGTGTCTCTCTGTGTGTGTGTGTGTGTGTGTGTGTATGTGTATGTGTGTTTGTGTGTGTGTGTGTGTGCGTGTGCGCTTTCAAGATCTTTTCAAGTTTCCCTCTTTTGAGAAGGGCAACACACAAGTCACAGTGCTTTGGTCCCCTGAGTCTCGCCAGCCCCCCGCCCCCCGATGATGAAGATTCGATGGGACACACCAAGCTTTTTTACACGATTCAAGGGGAGCGTCCCAGAGGTTCTTTTCTTCGGTCGATGTCCTCATCCATTTGGCCCTTTGCCAGGCACAAAGGCCGTGTCAGAATCGGAATTGGGAAAGAGGATTTGTCAACGGACTTGCTCCAAGCATTGTTTCTTGGATTTGTCAAATGGGTGTGGGTCAAAAATAGGTACCCAACACGGGACCCTGGAAAAGGAAACAAGGACTAAAACCTGCGATCCCCTGGTGGTATAACTTTGACCCATACCCAAATCTAGATTGAACGGCACAACTATGTTGTTGGATTCCGAACCTTCAATCAAAAAACACATGTTTGGAGAGCCTCCTTATACAGCTGTAGTCGGGGTTGCGGGGAATTTGTTGGTTTAGTACTGGTTCAGTATTGGGTATTCTATTCTAGTTTTGGTGGGTTGTTCGGATTAGAGAACCATAGTAACATACATTGATTTGTAGGGGCCTTGATTTGTAGGGAGGTGGCAAAGATTACGTCTTGCTGTGCCCGGAGGAGGAGGCTCAGTCGAAGTCAAATGCACAAGAAGAGCCGGGGAGCCTGAGAACTGATGACACACCGAGATGTTGGACATCTTCATGAAGAGAACTGGCAAGTGCTGCAGTCATTTCAGGGATGTGCACTATCAAGAATGCACACTAGGTTTCGCAGGAGTGTTGAGGCGATGCTTGCGAGGAGTTGGGTTGTGAAGTGAAGTGCACGTGATCCGTGAGCCTCAAGCCTCTTGAGTGATTGTTCATTTGTGACCCGTACGTGCGCATCGTGAGCCCACAGCTCAGCCCTGACTAAGATTGAGGGGTCTTGCTTGACTTCAAGCAGCTTTCAAATATGTCAGTGGAGCACACTTTCGTGTGTCCATTATGTGGAATTTTCCTCGAAGCATCTTGCCATCCACGCTACAACTGGGATCGACGTTCATACGGCACGAACCCTTCTATCTTAACGAAGCAAGGGGAAGGTCGTTCGCCAAGCCAATTGCTTGCTTCGATATGGATTAGCGTCTGAGTCGAGATTCAATCACCTAAGGTCAACAAACTTCACGGTCAGTCAACTGCTGACGGCCCTTGCCTCAGCAAGATTAGATTTCGGTGGACTCGAGATGTTGCCCTGAGAAAACAAAGGCCTTTGACGGATCATGCAAGGATGGATGCGCGCTGGACGTGTCCGCTTTTGAGATTTGTTATTCGAATCGGGTGTGCAACACATATCCCAGTGCTTGAAGAGCATCAGCTTTTTAAGCCACGGGATGCTTTTGGATGTGAGACCCCCCAGCTCTGGGCGTCTTTGCTTTGGACAGGGAGTGGCAGATTCATGTCGAACTCGTTGAGTCTTTGAACCGTTGGCTTTTGGCACCGACAGCTTAGGTCTTGTCCAAGGCCTTCAATGGCGAGGCCCCGCCCGCGCCCGTGTCGCCGGCTCCTATAGTGCGAGGCTGAGGGAAAGTCGGGACGCGAGGCCCAAGCAAAAGGACAGCCAATTGGCAAAGTCGAGTGAGCGGCGATCAAGAATCCTATGAAGAAGCTTAGCCTTGGGGTGCCAAAATGAGATTCCGAGGAAGGATTGGTTCAGGGCGCGGAAGCTTGCGAAAGCTTCTGCGGAGCACATCGCAAGCAGCGGAAGATGTGCTGACACCAGTCCCATACCATGACCTTTTGTCCTTCTATTTTTGGTCACCGCGCAAGTGGGTAAGAACAAGTCATGTCTGGAAGCGGAGCCAAAAGCCGCAGAACCAGCATGGCTGTTGTAAGGCGCGACCAGTCTCAGAAGAGCCTGCGGACCATGCGATGAAGATGTTCACACGCCGCCTGGTTGCATAGGGACAAGGACTGCTTCTCTAGGATTGATGTGAATCACTGCCAGCTGTTTGTTGGAGCCATGTATGCTTTGCGCATTTTACGCTCAGACTGCAGGATGCCGCTCTGGGTGCTTTGGATGTTTTGCTCACTTGCACGCAAACATGCAATCATCGTTGAGGGCACAGCTGTGGGACATGGGCTGCAACTTCACCCTTCAAAATTGCTCCAACACTGCCAACCCGAAGCGGTCTCAGTCTTGCCAGCAACCAAGGCTTGTACAGTCGCTTGGATGAATTATGGTTTGTGGAGGCAAGGGTGGCTCTCGTAGAAAACGCCACAAGATCATGGATGCTTGCCCTTAATGGAAAACCAGGGTTTTTGTGATTGCACGGAGGCAGGCAGTGCATCTTCATGTTTGAGAAATTGCCAGGTTGCCAGACTTGAGCAGTTTTGCTGACCACTGTTTCAGCTGCGTACATGTTTGCAACTGACGTCATGCTCACGGATTGCCGCACTCGGGTAGCACTCATTGACGCTGAGCGCTTGTTTGTCAGCACAACCTGAGCATGCATGTTGTTATTGTATCCTTTGTTTGCTCCGTCCAAGCTGAAGAATGTACATTTGTTGCCAAATGCGATCCCGATTGCAGGGGAGAGCCAGTGCAAGCCTTTCCTGATCTCGTCTAGGCTATTCATGCTTGCGAAGGCTATCTTGCTGTCAGGCATTCAGACTCCTACCTGGGGTGTCGTGTTTGAGTTTGCCATCTTCTTGAGTTTCGCAGCTCTGGGGCAGAATTGGTAGAGCAGGGGCAACATGGGGTCCGAAGGAATCTGTTCAACATACATTGACAGCACTTTTTTTTTCTCAACACCATGTGCGGCTCATTTGTGTATCAGATTGTTTCTCTATTTTTTTCTCATTTGTTTCTCAGATTCCGTCACCACTTTAGAGATTGCTTTTTCCGGGCCCAGGCACCACCAGTGCGGCTCCCCGTCCATCAGTGCAAGGTTCGGCTTACAGGCCCGCCCATACAGCTCGCGAATTAAGCGCAGAAGGTTCCGGAACGGACCGCCGCTGAGGTTTCGGCAGTCTCAGAATGAGACCCGCCAGCCCTGGAGTGGATCTGCGCCCTTCTGTTCGACTTGTTGCAAGGAATGTGACGGATTGGCGAACCAGACCACGGTGATTTAGAGATCAAGCCAGTTTCTGGGTTCAATGCGAGCCTTGATCAGGCCTAACTTTATTTTTCTTTGCAAAGGGGCGAGCAGAAGTTTGCAAGGACAATGTACAGGCTGCAGGCCCTGAGAGCAGACTGGGCAAGGCCGACATTTCGCTCTCCAGTTTGCATCCAGAAAGCCGAGGGTCTTCATTTTGGTTGGTTTGACGGCAGCCCGAAGCTGCGATCTGGCTTCACCTCCAATGCAGCACCAAGGAGAACGTCTTACTCCAACAGATTCAGTAGATGTTTGGCCCCAGCACAGAGTTGCGCAAGTGGCGAACTGCTAGATTTCAGCCTTTGTGCACAGGCTAGTCTGAGGTTATAACATGCATGGTATGCCGTATGACAACCCCAGCCGTGCCAGCTCCTTGTCAACGTCAACACGTCAATCTGGATAATCCATTCCTGGCAGCAAAACCGGCGATGTAAGACGTCCTCAGAAGCTGTCAGCAGCTGAAGCAATGCTGCTAAGAATTCGTTGGCGGCATGTCGAGAAGTGCGTTTCAGCCGTGCCTCCCAAAGTCTATCGAAGGAACGCTGAAACAAAGCGAGATGAGCAAGCCGGTGCCTGAGCTTTTCTGGGTAAGCCAAGAGTGGTTTGATCACAAGCCTCCAACAGGGGCTCTCATATTGATCACAAGGTGCATGCAGGCCTCAACTCTATGCTGATTCGAGGGAAGATCAAGGCTACCAGAGATCCAAATGAACCCAAACGGCTGAAGCCCAGAGTTGTTTGCTGAATATAAAAGGCATCTTTGGGAAATTTTGGGCTTTCTTGGAGAGTGGGCGAACAGTTTTAGCCTCCCCAGACAACCAGGCGAGTTTCAGCAGCTATAATAGCTGCGAGTGCAATAGTATTGCACTTGACAGACCACAACCACGGCAATTTAATCCAGTGCACAAATTGTGTATCCTGCTTGTAGATATACATAAGTGCACGTGCGCGGCCACACACACACACACGGTCACAACGCACATACACCTAGTATGCGAACACATGCGCGGGCGCATGCATGAAAGTGTTTCAAGATCTCTATATATATATATAGATTTGTGTGTGCAGACGCCATTGTCATATACATCGAGGTGTGCGAAGCTGAGCTGTTTGTCGCATGGCTTTTTAAGGAGCGAGTTGCTCGCATCCCGTGTTGAGCGCTCGCAGATCAACAGCACGCTGGTGAACGACCTGCTCATGGCCATCGGCTCGATCCTCTTCGTGATTTTCTATTTGCGCGTCCGGTCCTTGGAGCTCGGCTCGATGCTGATTTTTTCGGGTTGAACCAACGGCGCGGGAAATAATTTTTGATGGATGGATTTCCAGCCAACAGTTCGACATCAGCTCATTCGAGTCTGCTGAGTTTTTGAGTTGTGCCGATGTTTCGCCAGGTACCTAGAGTGCAGTTTCACAAGGTGTAATGGATGGAGACTAGCCTCTAATTTCGACTCGGCCGCCAGTTTGGGCATTCTGGCCGCCATGTCTCATTCCCCTTCTCCTTCCGCCAGATGCACACCGGCACGTGGCTCATCAGCATCTCCTCCTTCGTCATCATTTTCGTCTCCGCCGGGAAGCCCGATTTGACCTTCAGATCTGTTTCTTGACGGCACGGACTAGTCATGGACTAGTCCTAGTCGCACTTCAGTCAAGAGCAAAGAGTTGAACACAGCCGGTTCCACGCAAAGTCACCTTTGAATATCCACAGACCACTGGTAGGTGTAGCTACAAGTTAGATATGCCGAGAGCCGCAATGAGTGGCCATGATGTGTTTGGCGGGGTGTTTTGAGCTGCCCCTTCCCCCGCCCGATGGACTCATACCAGACATATTTCGGCTGCCTTGCTAACCTTCCCGAACAGGTGCCTTTGGCCTACATCATGACCCCGGCTGCAAAGGCGACCATCGCGCCAGGAGCACGGTGAACATACTTACTAAAGCCCTATTCACCCTGCAAGGGTTTCGCGTGCTCAGTTGCTTCCTTGGCTCTCCGAAGGTCGCTCACAGACTTTGAGATTTATGTGCTTACATTTGAATGGTAAACCCAAATCCCTCCATTGTAGGCATTTGGATTTGCCATTCAAATGTTGGCATTTTTCTGGGCTGCAAGGAAACAGCCAATTTCGGAGGTAAGAACATCCAGGGAACATCAGGGAACCATGGTTGGGCCAAGGTATGCCACTGGTGTGTGCACCGAAGGACTTGTGCACAATCCTTGTAGCACAGTCACTTTGACATTGGCATGCATACGCGTCGTCTGTGAATCCGAATCCGATCAAATCCATGGGCACCGATGTGCCCTCCTTTAAATACATAAAATGCTGTGAACATTGCAGAGTGTGGACAACAAATGAGCATTTGATGCCGGTTGGTGGTGTTCCTTTGGGGGCCTCCCATCCTTTAAGGATCGTTGTGGTCTTTCAGAACTCAGCTAGATCTCTTGAAGGCGGACAGCCACTTGCCACTTGATTTGAGCATCGAACTGCAAGGTCTTTCCTGTCCGTGTTCCTTATCACGGGCATTGGCTGCGATGTTGTGCAGCTCGGTGGACATAGTGCAGCGACTGCTACTTCTTGGTGCAATCACACCGCGGTGAAGGGTTGGAGTTTTCTCAGCTTACGGGCGTGTCTTAAAATTGGGCTACCCACAAAATGGGTGTGTGCTTTTAACTTTTCTCTACAACCAATCAACCAGGGGATCCCCGAAAAAAGACAGCCGCTGTCTCGAACTTCAAGAGCGCCCAGGTTCGTCTTCACGGACTTCTGGGACAGCCTGGCAGTTGCGATTCCAAGACGCTGCGAAATGGCCAACCAATTTTTATTCCCAGGTCACGGTTTGGTCGCACACGTGACTCTTTACTTGCTTTCGAAAAGAAACATTTTTGGGAGATTTGGTCCACGATGTTGTCTCGTTGCCTTGGCCGCTCTGCGCGCTTCGCATTTGCAGTTCCCCAGCTTGAGCAACGCTGGGCCCACCAAAGCCCAAGGCCAAAGCCAACGTCAGGCCCACCCCAAACGAAGCCTAAACCAGCCCCTGAATTGTCCCAGGCCCACCCTAAAGCGACAACAAGCCAAGACCAGCGCAACACCCACGCCAGCCTCAAACCAGCAATTTTGCCGGAATACAGCAATTTGCAGCGTTTGGTCCCCCGAGGCCCGCGCAGGCAGAAACCGTCAAGCAAATGCGACGGAAGCAGACACATCCCAAAGCAAATCTGACCCCTTTTTGATGTTAGTCTTTTCCGTTTTGAGCTGAGCAAGCTTTGAGTTTGCACCAGGAGCAGGCCAAGAAGCTCCCGGTGGAGTCGCGGTTGATGTGGATGCCAGAGACTCAGATGGGCCATCAGCTTGGAGTAGGCGAGTCACAAGTCCGTGGGCCGAGCTTCCCCAAAAGGCGCTGGCTGAGGATTGTACATGCCGGTGAGAGCTGCCTAGCGACTTCCATCACAACTGCGGCCTACACCTCAGAGCAAATGAGTGCGCTAGCCTGTGACGAGTGGCACAGGATTTTTCCGTGATGTCAAGCAACAAGATGTATTCATTCATGATCATTCCTTCGGGTGCTCAGCGCAAAGACATGATAGCTTCTTCTTGCAAATATGATGCTCCGGAGGTATCGCCTCTGAGTGCCATGATCTGACCGCTTTTGAGAGTTCGTGTTTTTAGTATTCGGGGGGAACTCGCTTTATGCGCGGAGGCACTGCGTAGGCAATTCTGGCGGGGACAAGGATCGCGTAGGCATTCCGCGTGGGCTGTTCAAGCAATGCCTGCGTAGGCAGGTTCGCGTAGGCATGTGTTTGCCTTCCACAAATCTAAGGATTTGTCTATTACACCCTGGGATGACACGCTAGGGAAACCACCCAAGGTAACTCTAAATAAGCAAAAATAATGATGTGTTATCTGGAAACAGCCTGATTCCCCAGAGGGCGTAATCCCAGGGTGTAGTAGGAAATCCCTTGGAACAAACTTAAGAGTAACATCCGAGAAAAGTCTTGTATAGGCACTCCGCAAACGCGCTTCTTGTGGCGTAGGCTTGCGTAGGCACCCTTCCAGTGTTTAACACCCGCGTAGGCATGGGTGCCAGTGTATGGGGCCAGCACAAGAACAACTCTATTCATTTCGTCACATCTATCTTCATGCATTTTAAAGATCATCGGAGTGTCTGACAACATGTATGTCACCCAATTTCTAGCACGGATGGGCAAATCCATGTTTTCTGTTGAAATTCACTCAGAGACTCTGGGGCAGTCGCATTGTGCGGCCCGAGTTGAGCTTCTTCGCCAACCTGGCCAGTGCACTGCAGCCTCTGCGGGAGTTTGGGACCGCCTGGGCACGGCAGCCGATCTTGCGGTCGCCGCTTGCGTTGCATCAGACCAGGCCGAACTGCTTGCAAGCGTTGGGCTCGCTGGCGCCAAGAGACTCCCGAATTCAGAACCATGTTATGAGCAGTCCAAGCACTCAATGCAACAACTACGGCAACTATGGACACAACATGTTCCCTTGCATCCTTCGTGCAAGCAAGCCATGGAAACACCGACGGGCCATTCTGTTGCTCCCTTGACAGGCGAACTACTGCAAGCTACAAACAACGACTTTTTTTTAAGATGTCAATGACGGCAAGTAGCATTCCCGCATCTTGTCCGGCAACCTCAGCCAACTTCATTGCACCACATGGCGTTAGTGCTGCCCCTGGCAATTCCCGCGCGGCCTGTCGTGGCGCAGCCTCGTCAAAGAGTCTCAGGCGCTTGGCGTATGCCAGACTGTATTCACAGAATCGGCACCTGGTCGGAGCAAGTACCCAGTTGGCATAGGAGCCAGTTGGAAGAATTTGAAAGTAATCATGGTCTCAGATTCATCAAGAGAGAAGCTG